AATTGTAGATGCCGATATGATAAAATGGACCATGGTGACGGAATGTGAGGGTCTTGATTCAGTTTTGCTTCGTTTTTCACACTCTATTTCGATTTCTTCTCAGCCAAAACTGTTGCAGATTCTGTACTTGTGGACAATCATGGGAAGGCTGGACGCAACGATTCCTTTCCTGTTTCGACCACCCTGACTATTGAATTCGTCAGCGTTCATATGGTGTTTTGTTTTGTTATTACCGTGTGTGGATTTGCGATAGTCATTTGGAATGTTACCAATGAAGTTTGTAACAAACTGTTGGGGGTTTGATACTTTTCCACTTTGACTACCTCTCTGCGTCGACCCCGGAAAAATGCAGAAAGGGTTTTGCGTGGGACTGTTTTTTTGCGGAGTGTGAGATTGAAATTGAAATTGAAATGAAATTGAAATGAATTGAGTTGAAATTTTAATGTGGGAGTGAAATTTATTTCCTCTAGAAAATGTAACTCAATCAAGAAGAAATTGCTGACAAGCTGGAATCGAAAGGATGAAAGAACGTAGTATTCATCTGCATTATATATAAGGGTAATAGCGGGACGTGACCAGAGCTACACAGTCGGATCGCCATCTGTCGGATATCAGTAACCTTATTTCGCTTTCAAAAAGTGGTTGTTTCGTGCAGTGCCGCGCTCGGCGTTTTGCTGACGAAGGAGGGAGTTGACTTGCAAATTGTTGCTCAAGTATCACATAAATTCTAGGACACCGCTTCTCTCTTTTTAAGAATAAACGTAAAGCAACTGTGTGCCACTTATATTGATGTATGGGCTTTTCGCACCAAAAATGTTGGGTGGTTCAGTGGATTGCTTGTTTATGACCCAATTTCTGAGTGATGGTGCCGGATCCGGACCGATTTCTCAACTGAGAACAATGCAATAGTCAAGTTATAATATTTATTGCAATTACAGAGCAATAATAAACCAACGTCTTGTTACCGGTGTAAGGAGGGTGAGTGCCAACTCTGAGCCTGCTTGACCCCTTGTTGGTTTAGGGGCGTGACTAACTTAGAGATCGTCGACTTAGACAGGAGGAGACGATTAGGGATTAAGATCGTCGACTTAGACGACGATACTCCGCCGGCAACGGAGTTAAAATTAAATATACATACATACATAAACACATGAAATCTTTGATCGTATGATGAGTGGATGCGGAATAGTTGACTGGACGCCGAGTGGAGAGGCGAGATGAGAGCTTGGTTTCGATGCTCGCTAGACTGGACTGCTTGTCGAATGGAAGACCGTAGGCGCATCGGTGGTGAAAAGAAGACAGAACTACTAGAAGTACACTTAATAACACGAAAAAAATGTTTGAATGCTAATAGTGGCCCTACCACACGCTGCTAAACGTGCGAGATATGGGTGACTACGAATCGAGTCTTTGACCACATTATCAACCTGCCAAGAAACCCGCGTAACGTACGGTGCCTTGAAGTGCACCGTTTCCGCCTATTAATCTTTGGCACTTTCGTCGCGCCTAACGGCTGTAGCTGTCGACAACCGCGACCCACGATCACCACTGCCCGAGGCGAGGTGGACGTCTTCACCGAAGTGTGGAAGCAACAATCTCCTGGACGAGGTTGGTTAGCATTTGATTTCTTGGGTGGCATATCAGTGCCTATTATGTCTGAGTGAGCAGACATACTGAAATTTTGAGATTGTCCATATTTTGGGCTAGGATGGGCTGATATGCCACCTGATTGATTGATTATTGATTTCCGATTCGGTAGTATTGGCCTGGTCCAGGCATGCATGCACAGTTGTAATGATAGTATGATAGTGATAGGTCATAGATTATGGATTATTATGTGGGAGTGTGGGAGTTTTAGTGCAGGTTAGACATCTGCCTCCTCCTGATACCATCCATCCATGTTCCTGAACAATTCATGGGCTCTCTCTTTTGAAGCACGGGGTAGAGGTTGTCGTTGCCGCCTCTGTCCCGCTTCCGCTTTCCTTGGACTTGCCATTTCCTCTAGATCTTGTGGTTCTAACAATAGGGGAGAATCGCTGCGATCATTCTTCTTTCCTCTTCTTTCCTCTCTCCATCTTCATTCCTCTCTGTCGCGCCTTCGAGTGGTACACTACGAATTTCTAGTGGATAGATTTTGTTGAGAGGGCGATGTATCGTTTTACGATTTGGCATAAGGATCTTTGCCGACCTTATCAGGCCATCAGCAGACAAAATGATCTCCACGATTTTGCCGTAAGGCCAGCTGCCTCTTGGGATCAAATCCTGTTCGATGATCACTATCTCGCCAACCTCTGGACAGGACCTTTGGAGATGTCTCGGTTGTTTCAAGTGCTGTTTTTGTATTTCTCGGAGAGATACTAGGTACTCACGCTTCCAGCATTCCCAGAATTTGTTGGCTACGTTTTCGGAGAAACGAATCGCCTCTTCAGCTTGCTTTCGCGATTGAACGAGTTGAGGATCATACAAAGGATCGTCGCTGTTTTCGCTGATTACTCCTTCCGGTAGGGAAAACCTTATGTTCCCCTGTAGGAAGTCAATCGGACGGAGCGGTGTTTTTGTAATGTCCTCTAGACTTATCTTGGTTAAAGGTCTAGTGTTGAGTATTGCCTCTACTCTAGCTATCACAGTGCACATTTCCGTGAAACTCAGTTTTCTTCGCCCGACCGCTTTGTTGAATGCCTTCTTGACTGAGGCTACTAGTCTTTCCCAGACCCCTCCCATCCAGGGTGATGCAGGAGGGTTGAATAACCACTTTATTCTTTCCGATGCACAGTAAGTCATCAGGGATTGCCCTGTTCTTTCATCGGTCTCAAACATGGTAGCTATTATTTGCTCCCCTTGCTTGAAATTTGTTCCGCAGTCGGTGCGCATAATTCTTGGAACGCCTCGTCTCGAAGTGAAACGTATGAAGCTGTTCAGAAATGCTGCTGTCGACATGTTTTCGACCACTTCTAGGTGAACTGCTCGAGTAGTTAGACATGTGTATAAGGCTACATACATCTTGTCCTGAGACTTTGTTATAAATGGTCCCATAAAGTCGCACCCTGTGTTTTGAAACGGTTTGGTTTCTACGACCCTATCTGAGGGAAGTGAGGGCATTGCTGGAGCACCCAGAGGCAATCCTTGATATTTTCGGCACGTAGCACAATTTTTCAAGAATTGTTTGAATGCACTGGATGCACGAGGAATCCAAAACCTCTGGCGTACTATCGTCAGCGTGTGTTCCTTCCCACAGTGCGCATTATCGCTGTGAATTTGTCGTACTAGTAGGCGGACTAGCTCTGACTTAGGAGGAACATAGATAGGAGACTTTGTGTCATTTGGGAGAACCGCATTCTGCAGCCGAGACTGGTGTCGAATTACACCGTTCTGGTCACGAATAACCTTCTTGTCACGGAATCTTTTTTGTAATGCTTCAAGATTTTCGGAGCTTTGCTCTTGGATGAGCATAATCTGCTCAGCTGCTTCTATGTCGGCTGATGTGATGTCCACTGTCATTGAAAAATTGGATGCAACAGTCAGTACTATTGTTGACGAACGATTTCTGTTTGTACGATCGGTCCAGCTTTTTGCTGTTTTCCCGACAAGGGCTAGTACTCGTAACGCTCTTTGTAGACTTGAGAAACGTGAAAAGGTCTATGATGTCCACCGTTTTCTCGTTGGGTTCTACAGAGGTTTCGACCAAGCTTATTGACTCATTTGAGTATTGCTCGTTTGTGGTCTCAGTAATGGATTCTATCGATTTGACTGGCCAAACACCCACAGACGCATTCTAGCACCTGAGGAGTGGAGAGGTCGTGACACTTCGATGCACGCATTGTTAACCTCGCTACACAATCGATTCCATCTTTGGCATACTGTTGGGTTGAGATGGGTTTTCCAGTCAACCCCAAGTTCAAAAACCTCTCTCATCATTGATTTCAGATGGACCAGTAATGGTCCTGCTAATCCAATCGGATCGTAAACTGAATTTATTTGGCTCACAATGATTCTCTTGGTTAGCCTTTCCATAGGTTGGAAGTTCGTTTCCACTCTGAATACATCGTTTGCTATGTTATAGCTGACGCCGAGTATTTTCATCCAGTCTGATTCTAATCTATCCGCTTCGGGAATTCTTAGGTTGACTTCGGAAGAATTAGATACATACTCACGGAGGTTCATGCCAATTCTGGCAAACAACTC